ATTAATAAGCCTGCATTTATTTAATAAAAAATGCAATAAAAATTGTGAAATATTATTGCAATTTAATATAACTGTTTTCTATGTGAATATGTGTTCAAATGTAATTTATTTCTGTGATCAAAGCTGAATTTTCAGCATCATTACTCTAGTCTACAGTGTCACATGATCCTTCAGAAATCATTATAATATGCAACTTTTGACTGGTAATGTATCATAAATATTTGCTATAATTGCCCAGCCATAGTTATATAATATTATGTAGACTGGAGACAAATGGCACAAACAACATGTTAGGAAAATAAAATTAGGAAATAATCGGTGTAACAGTGATGAAATAAAGAGTTTGAAAAAGTTATTTTCTTTCTCTTGTTCATTCATCAACCATTCCACAAATATAGCTGCATAAAATATATCTATGACAATATACACAATATCAAAATTTAGCAGAATTGCTTTGGCATGTGAATGTTTTTTAGCATCTGTGGCCTGCAGCTGGTAGCAGCTCTCAGTTAATTGCATTTCATGCAGCGTACAGTAACTACAGGAATCAAACTCGTTTGTGTGCGTTTTGTTCTCGCTGCAGGTTTGATGAGATTGTGAAGAAGAGTAAAGTGGAGTATCATGCTGGTGGATCCACACAGAACTCTGTCAAAATCGCTCAAGTACATCTATAACTCTGTACTTTCTGTTAAAATGTCTATCAGGGGATTATGGGAAGGCTGTTTTATATCGCTAATTTAAACCAGCATAATAATGTACGTTCGATATCTTCTGTCTCTCAGTGGATGATCCAGGAGCCGCATAAGGTGGCCACCTTCTTCGGCTGTATAGGCACGGATCACTTCAGCGAGATTCTGAAGCAGAAAGCGGCTGAAGCTCATGTTGACGCTCATTATTATGAACAGAGTCAAGAACCGACAGGAACCTGTGCGGCCTGCATTACTGGAGACAACAGGTCAGATATAAAACAGTCTCTTCTGCTCATCAAGGCTGCGTTTATTTGATCAAAAATACTGTAAAATTGTGAAATATTCTTAGAATTTAAAATAACGACTATATTAGACTGTGATCAGTCTTCAGTGTCACATGATCTTCAGAAATCATTCTAATATGCTGATTTGCTGCTCAAGAAACATTTCTGATTATTATCAATGTTGAAAACGGTTCTGCTGCCCGATATTGTTGTGTAAATCATTACACATTTTAATTTTCAGGATTCTTTGATGAACAGAAAGTTCAATTAAACAGCATTTATTTGAAATGGGAATCTTTTGTAACATCATAAATGTCTTTACTGTCAGTTTTGATCATTTTAATGCAGCCGAATAAAATTAATTTATTAAAAAGAAATAAATCTTACTCAAAATTTTGAATGGTAGAGCAAATGAATCAAACCTATTTTTTTTTTTATCACAATTCATACTAAGAAAAAACACATGAAATAAGACATCAACCCATTGTAATATACCTAATGCACTGCTTTATCCAGGGCAACTCTAATATAATAATTTCAGATTATAGCAGATAATTTTAAAATATGTCTGATGAAATTAAGCATCATAACAATGTAACTATTGTAACTGCTTAATACTCCTGTAATATTTCATTATCAACTAAGCTGGATGGCTGATACCAATAACATTACCAATATACAGTTTCATCTTTATTAAACATCTATATGATTCATCTGTGCACTAATGCAGTTTCCCCTTCAGCGTTCAAACTGTTTATGACAATCCTGTCCTGTAATGATCCTTTGTGATTTTACAGACCCTCACACACATGGACTCATTTGAACCCGAGTCTCATTGGGATCAGTGTTTGACTGTTATTGTGTGTTTGCAGGTCTCTGGTTGCAAACCTGGCAGCAGCAAACTGCTATAATAAAGAGAAACATCTGGATGTTGATAGTAACTGGAGTCTGGTGGAGAAAGCAAGAGTTTACTACATCGCAGTAAGTGCTACCATCGTGTGTGTTTGAATGTGCAAATGGGAGAATAGAGAGATTTATCAGCAGCTGTAACTTAGGCAAGAAACTCGTGATGTCAAAAGTAGCAAGTAAAGTATTAATGTCTGTCCTGCAGGGTTTTTTCCTGACCGTGTCTCCAGAGTCCATCCTCAAAGTGGCCAAACACGCGTCTGACAACAACAAGATCTTCGGTCTGAACCTCTCGGCTCCCTTCATCAGCCAGTTCTTCAAAGAGCCGCTGATGAAGGTCATGCCGTACGTTGACATCGTCTTCGGAAACGAGACGGTGAGTCTTCATGTTCCTCGTTGGTTTTTAAGTGCAGAATCAGTATGAATACTTTCAACCCTATAAAGCCTGACGTGTGAAAAAATAGTCAGGAAAAAGTTGCATCTGTGTTTTTGTTGAGTATCATATTTGATCCATCAGGATTTTATGGCTCATATAGTCTGATATAGTGAGAATATGGAAGAAAAAAAACAGCTACATTTTATTCAGAGACTCAAACTGAGCAAAAATAGGCCATTTGGAGCAAATGCTGTTATTTATATTTACAAAAAGTGATGAAATTCTGATGCTTGTGATGTAAATCACTGAGACCTTTTTTTAACTGTAGAGCAGATACTGACATAACATGATATAAATATCAGTCGTCACTCTATATCTCCAGTAATATGTCTTAGTAAGATGAGATTGAAATGATCCAAACATATAATGCAATGCAATCCAATGCTGATTGAGAGCTGAAGAAATAAAGGCTCCTCAAAAGATCCTGAGGATCAGATTTGAGACTCTAAAACATGATTGATGGAGAATCAAGCAAAGAAACTGAGCAAAAATAGGCCATTTAGAGCAAATGCTGTTATTTATATTTACAAAAAGTGATGAAATTCTGATGCTTGTGATGTAAATCACTGAGACCTTTTTTTAACAGTAGAGCAGATACTTACATAATGTGATATAAATATCAGTCGTCATTCTACATCTCCAATAATATGTCTCAGTAAGATGAGATTGAAATGATCCAAACATATAATGCAATGCAATCCAATGCTGATTGAGAGCTGAAGAAATAAAGGCTCCTCAAAAGATGTGAGATGTTCTGGAGGCTTGTGAAGATCATTCCTCCGCTGAGGAACCGGCGGTGATGATTGCTTGATGTTTGTTTTACAGGAAGCTGCGACATTTGCAAAAGAGCAAGGCTTTGAGGTGAGTGAAAAATACAGTAATGCCATTTTTTTCTTGCACACTGAACACAAAAGAAGAAATTTTTATTTTTGGATCAACTGCTCCTATAATACACTCTCGGAACTGTATAATCACCTTCTTGCTCTGATGCTCGTGTTCCTGCAGACAGAAGACATCGCTGAGATCGCAAGGAGGGTTCAGTCTCTGCCCAAAGTCAATAAGAACAGGCAGAGGATCGTGGTCTTCACTCAGGGCAGAGAAGACACTGTGGCCACTGTGGGTACGTCCATCAAACAACATCTGGATGGGTTCAGATCATTTGAGTTGTGTTTCCTTAATTGTCTTTGTTTGTCTTCTTTCAGGTGATAAAGTGAAAATCTTTCCCGTTTTAGACATCGACCAGAACGACATTGTGGACACTAATGGTGCCGGTGACGCTTTTGTGGGAGGTAACTGATTCGGCAGTCATTTTAGGCCGCTTTTCTATAATTGATGTTTTTGAGTTATTAGTTCAATAATATATTATTATCATGCTAAAGTACACTGTATTTGATTTTTAGAAGTTGCAAATAGATTGTTGGAGTACGTTTTACAATAAATTACTATTTTAGTCTTTCTACTTATAATTGTCATGTTTCATTCAGTGTGTTACTTGCCATTTTTGTGTAATTATTTGCAGTTTCTGAGTGAATATTCTTAACACAAAGTAAATCCTAATCCACATTTTTATTTCAGCGCATATAAAATATATACAGTATGTATATGTATTTATAAGCAGGACTTTAAGTAGATGAAGACTTTTTGAGTACCTTTAGGCTTTAGAAAACCTTTAGGATGACATACAGAGTTTTGATATGATGCACCAATGTGATTCGTAAAATATAGCATAAAATATTGTTGTAAAATAACAATTATTTTACAACAAAAATTAAAAATGGCCAGCATGGGAAAATTGGGTATCGTTCAACTCTGTATGCTTCTCCAAATCTAAAGAGACAAGTCTTGTGATTTTTGGCCAAACCGTTCAGATATTATAAGCAAAAATTGCCTTTTTTTCATATCTCCAGACCACTAGGTGGCGCTGTGCTGAAGCTGTGCAGGGAGCCTCAGGTCATGGTTATGACTACACACTCTATGTTTGGTCTGAATATGCTAAAGCATTGGAGAGATATAGCCTCACGTCCACTTTAACAAGCTCTTCGTCAAATTCGTTTATGCGTTATTCAAGAACGGTTTGACTAATAAACTTGAATTTCATGTTTTTTTGTCGCCATGGTCTGAAAATGATCTGGTTTGATTTTCGCGAAAATTTTAACATCTAGGAGGAAAGTTATGTCATTCGTTTCTAGCCATTACAGTTCAAAAGTTATAAGCATAAATGTGAGTGCAACCTTTGGACAGTTGGTGGCGCTTGAGGGTTTGAGTTAGAGACTCCAAATTTGCTGTGGTTAATGTTCAGACTGTCCTCTATCCGTGTGCCAAATTTCACAACTTTTTACCATATTGTATGGGCTGCCTTAGACTCAAAGCAGAAGAGTTAGGATTAGGATGCTGTAGATATCAAGGCGGCTCACTAAGCTTTAGAACGGAGCCTACACATTAACTATATATGTTTGTCTATGTGTCCTGCAGGATTCCTGTCGGAGTTGGTTCAGGAGAAGCCGTTGGAGGAGTGTATCCGTGCAGGTCACTACGCAGCTAATGTCATCATCCGGCGAGTCGGCTGCACTTTCCCTGAGAAACCCGATTTCCATTAACTCCCTCACATATTTCCCAATACGGAGTCTTTCCATCTCATTTTTTTTGTTCTGAAATTCCAGCAACACAACCTGCGTGCCTCTGCATTCATTTACACACGTTTCCTGTTAAACTGGGCATTTATCAGGATTGCAACGACCACATATGTACACTCCGATGAATTTGTGTTAAAGTATGGTTTGTCCTTGATCTGTTTTTATGCTACATTGCAAGAACAACATTTCTATATTTAATTATTATTAAATAATTAAATTAAATATCTATGATATCATTTTAAGTAAGTGCATTTATATATCTCAAAAATAATAGTAGTAAATTAAAGTAACCGGATTATATAACAGGATTTTTGCCTAGCAAGTTGATGTCTTTCAGGTATATATTGTTTCTTCGAAATACCAAATTGTATCTTAAACGCACAAAAGTCTTTAAATACACATAAGCTGTATCTGATGTGGGAAAATTTTTCCACTTGCTCTTTCTGCTTATGGAACAGGACTGTTCAACTGACCAGTTTAATAAAAAGATTTTAATTGTTCCAAAGTTGTACATCTCTTGTTTTAAATTGTGTCCGTGTTGTTTTAGTATCCGTATTATTATTTTTATTTTTATATTTTGTTTTCATTTTAGTTAAAGTTTTAGTAATTTTGTGTTTTTGTCATTTGTGTTTGTTAGTTATTGTTTTCATGCGTATATAGTTTTTTATTTTATTTAGTTTGTTATTTAGTACATTAAGTTAAACTAAATTATATATTTGTAGAAATACTAAAATTTGAAATGGTTTGGCAACTAAATGAAACAAGTTAGTTTTTATTTATTTAATTTTAAAATAATTTTTATTTCAAGTAATTTAATTTTAAATGGTTTTAGTTAGCTGTCATAACCGGTGTGTGTGTGTGTGTGTGTGTGTGTGTGTGTGTGTGTATTCTCATATTTAGATAGGAAGAAGCTCTAATACCTGGAAAAAGCTTTCTGTTAGCATTGCCGTGTTCTGCAGCAGAATAGAAGTACTGGCTGAGGTTGAACGTAGGAATGTCCTCCGCTGTGATCCCGTAGTAATGCACGTCCATGTCTCTGTAGTATTCAGCGCCGGTATCCACACTGTTCCACTCGCCCTCCGCAGCGTTCAGGATGTGCGTGATGCCCATCGTCTTCAGCTTGTATCGGTCCTTTGCTGTTTCTCTTCACAGAAACACAACAGCTTAGACTAGTCCACCATCTTACTCCCATTATAAACTGCCTTCCCATCCCATGCCTTCAGAAAAACACTCCACTGGACATTCGCATACATCTGCACTTTGCACTTTAACTTAGCTGCATGTGCACTATAGACACTTGCACAACTGCACAAGGGTCAGTTACACACATCCACACTCAGCCAAATAATGCACATTATTTAACATTATTTAGTCTGCTCTGAGCCACCTCAATTGTGCACTAGCACTTTATTCTTACACTTCTAACATTTCTTACATTACTACAATTTTAGAGTTCTACCTCATGTTAATTGCTCTTGTTAGGTTTAGTGTGCTCTTATGTTTAATTCCTGTTGTCATGAACTTGTGTGTATACTTGTTTTGTCAGTGTCTTGCACCTTGGTCCGTCAGAAATGACATTTCGCTCTTCTGTATACTGTGTATGCGGAAGAATGACTATAAAGTTGAATTGAGTTGAGTTGAAGTATTTTTTCCATATGGTTCAGTCAAATTCTCCCAGTCACACTAAGAACGATGTCTGTAACCTATAAAAATCGTTCAAACTCTCCACGACAAGAACTACAACTATATACTGTAGTTGAAATCACTTTCGGAGCCAATCAGAATCCATACAATTTAAAAAAAGACCATTAGCGGTATTTGTTTACTCTCTTCATTGACTCTATTTCACATTTTTGCATAAATTTAGAACTGACTGACTTGTATTTTTAAAGTTAAAATGTCTTAATGATAGATTTGTTTCTTACAAACACGCAGCGTTTTGCTTTATAAGACGTTAATTGATTGTCTTTAGT